ACGTGCTAAACAGATGTCTTAGCTGTGATTATTGCTCACTTACAACCTTTTATAAGCCCACGTTTTTCAGGAATGTTTCATTAAAACACGATGGTCCAAGAACGCTCGCTGCCTGACATCGACAGAGGACAAGCCCTTACCTGGCTCCAAAATGGCTCCACGTTCCCAGTTCTTGCACAACGACTTTGGGTGTCCCCATCAGTCATATAGAGGCTGCAAGAATGATGGCGAGCGACCGGAAGGGTCCAGGACAGGCCTCGACCATGGCCACCCCGTTTCACCAACGACAGCATCGACCGGTTTATCGTCAGACAGGCCGTGACGTCACGAACCATCACTGCAAACGGCATCGGGGACCAACTACAGGTTACAGCCAATGTCCACGAGATCGAGGAGATGGTAAGGAACTGTGTCCGTAGAGCCAGGTTTGCTTCTCGTGTCCTTGCCAGGCGCCCAAGGCACACCCCCCCCCACAAAGCAGCTCTCTGGGCGTGGTCTGCTCGCCATTCACAGTGGACACGATGTCAACGGGACCAGCTAATCTTCTTGGACGAATCCAAATTCAACCTGCTGCACCCAGACAGGCGAGCCCACGTCTGGAGGCGCCGAGGAGAGCTGTTCCACCCTGAGTGCATCCAGCAGGTGGCGCCCTACGGTGGAGGGTCTTTTCTGATGTAGGGAGGCTTCTCAGCTCACCACAGGGCCCCCTGTACAATATACTGGCCAATTTGACCGCCAGGCATCGTGGGGGACTTCCTGCAACAGCGAGATGTCACCGTCATGGACGGACCAGCTTGTAGTCCGGATTTGAACCCAATAGAGAACATTTGGGATCCCATTGACTGGTGGATAAGGAACAACAACCCTCTTGCACAAAACTTTCAACAGCTCTTGGGTTGCCTCGTCCAGGAGTGGCAGAACCTACAGCAACAAGTTCTCCGAAGGCATGTTCTGTCCATGCGTCGTCGCTGTGCCGAGTGTTTGATCAAACGGAGAGGCTACATCAACTATTGACAATGTTCATGAAGAACTATGGCTGTTCAGACTTTTGAAATCCGACCAGCGTGACTTAAACTCATTTTACATGAACTTTTCGTTGTCGTTGAAATCTGAAATTGTATACTCTTTATCTAGAGAGTCGAAAGCATCTTTTTTTTTTTATGAATAAATTCGGTTAAAGTGTTCTTCAGTTATCATTCTTTGAATTTTTGTTCCTTGACTTTTTTGTGCGAGTTTAGAAAGGTTGATCATACATAGCATTTCAGAGCTTTCATTTTGGCAGCCTTGAGGTGTTTCTATTTTTCAGGATTGGGCTCATTTTATTGAAACTAGCCTTAGGCTCTGTAATTCTCCCTTTTTATTTCTGTGGAATATTTGGCATCAGAAGTTATATCACATATCCTAGATACATAAACTATTGCATCTTTTCACTATTGCTAATGAGATTACAACTAGGATTTGCTGCTCTTTTTTACTTGTATTACCATGCATTCCGTTTTCTTTACATTCAATGCTAATCCTTTACGTTCAAATTCTGTTACAACAGTATCTAGAAGCAATTTTTCTAAGCCTGCCATTAAAACTGTGTCATCTGCATATTTGATGTTATTAATATTTTCTCCATTTACTTTGAGACCTGGACATTATTCTATGTTTCTAAGGATTGTTTCACTGTACATGTTAAAGAGGTCTGGTGACATAACGTATCCTTTCCTCACTCCTCTCCTAATCTGCTTATGTTCATCGTATTCTCCATTAATTTGTACAGCAGCGTTTTGGTCCCAGTACAAATTCTTTGTAATTCTTAGATCTTTTCCATCTATGTCTAGCTTTTCCAGTATTTAAAATAGCTCATCATGTCTAACTTTACCGAACGCCTTTGAATAGTGTATGAAGCATAAATACAGATCTTACTGGGCTTCAATTCATCTTTCCATTAACATTGTTATGGTGAATATAGCATTTCTGGTGCCCTTGTCAGGAACAAAGCCGCATTGCGGTTTAGATATATCTGGTTTTACACTTTTTCTCAAACTTCCCTATATTACTCGCAGCAATTTTTTGGTGTTAAAATGACTCACAAGGCTGATTGCTCTATGCATATCACACTCAGTGGCACCTGATGTATTAGGTAAAGCTATAAAAACTGACTTTATCATATCTTCTGGGATCTCATGTTTTTCATAAATAGCATTTAGGAGCTTTGTTGTTATTTCCTTGTCTAGTTCTTCAAGCCCGACAATCACTTCAACTGGAGTATTATCTGGCCCTACGGCGTTTCCTTGGTTCATTTTCCTAATGTTAGCTTGTACTTCTGCTTTCAGTATTCGTGGTCCACTTATTTCATTCTTTATTACCGGTTTTTCTCTTCTGTTATTTTTGAAAAGTTCCTCTATGTATTCTGACCATCTGTTTAAGACATCCCCATTGTCCATTAAAATATCTCCTCCTTTTGATCTTATGCATCCTGTATTTGAGCATCCTTTTATCCCACTTACTT